CTTTCTAATTTGGTTGATTATGTTTCAGGACATACACATGTCGCAGAGGCGCTGAAAATACCTATTCATATATTTTTTACTATGCCTTGGACGTAAGTGTTTTATATGAATTTCCTTAGAGGTTTTTAGTTTCTTTATAATAAATTAAAGTTAGTGATTCTCAATTTCACTGTGTCATATCAGGCCTACTAGTGAATTTCCTCACCCTCTATCACGTGTCAAGCAACCAGCTGGATATAGAGTGAGTTCAATCATTAATATTATACATATGAGTAAATTTTTTTTTTTTTTTTTTCTGTTAAATAATTAAGTTTTTGTATTTTACATGTGTTGTTGCAGTTGTCATATCAGATAGTTGACTCTTTAATCTGGCTTGGAATTCGAGACATGATAAATGATGTTAGGAAGAAAAAGTTGAAGCTGCGACCTGTCACGTATTTAAGTGGTTCTCAAGGCTCTGAGACTGATATTCCACATGGATACATATGGAGTCCTCATCTTGTTCCTAAACCAAAAGGTATATTTTCCCTATTTATAAGACTTTATTATATGAGATGGATTAATCAAACCATAATATGCACAGATTGGGGACCTAAAATTGATGTGGTTGGATTTTGTTTCCTTGATCTCGCATCAAACTACAAACCCCCTGAAGAACTTGTACGCTGGCTTGAAGCTGGCCCAAAGCCTATCTACATTGGGTTTGGTAGCCTTGTGAGTTTGCTACTTTTCTTTATCTATATCATCACTTCTTTTATGCTTTTTATAATTTTTATATATATATAAAGTAATCTAAATATAAATTCCCACAATTTTATTTATCCATTGTCAGCCAGTTCAAGAGCCTGAGAAAATGACACAGACAATCGTTAAAGCCCTAGAAATGACTGGGCAAAGAGGCATCATCAACAAAGGATGGGGTGGTCTTGGTATCTGTAAGTATAAGTCTATATATGTCTCCTTTATTTTTAATTTTTCACAACTTTATTTTTCCTATTTTACCCTTTCCTTGCTTATGGAAGGAATCAGAACTGATGTAGATAAACTTTTTGTCTCTTCAGTAACAGAGCCAAAGGATTTTGTATACTCTTTGGACAACATCCCTCATGACTGGCTTTTCTTGCAATGTGCATCTGTGGTGAGTCATTGCTGCTACTTTATTTTTTACCCATAGTAGCAACTTAGTTACATTTTTTGTTACACATAATAGCAATAAGCAATGTACTTACTTTTTTTTTCATTTTTTTTAAATTGTAGGTGCACCACGGGGGTGCTGGAACTACAGCTGCTGGACTTAAAGCTGCGGTAATTTTCCTTGACAACTTGTCATTTTATTTTTACCAATAATAGCAATCTGATATTCTATGTTGACTTTTTATTTGACTTTCAGTGCCCAACTACAATTGTACCTTTCTTTGGTGACCAACCGTTTTGGGGAGAGCGAGTTCATAGCAGAGGTGTAGGGCCCCCACCCATACCAGTCGATCAGTTTAACCTCACCAAGTTGGTTGATGCAATTAAATTCATGCTAGATCCCAAGGTAACCAACTCCCCTATTGTTTATAGCAATGAAGATTACTTTGTAATATTTGGAATACATTTGCTGTAACTATGTAAAATCTAGAAAGTTGTATATATAAATTTTTTTAAAAATATTAATTAGTGGAAGTGTTGCAGGTGAAGGAGCGAGCGGTGGAGCTTGCAAAGGCGATGGAGAACGAGGACGGTGTGGAAGGGGCAGTTAAAGCGTTTTTAAAACATCTTCCGCAACAAATACCGCCAGATTGCAAGCCTTCTTCAACAAAGCCTCCAACCAAAACAAAACCCTCAAAGTCAAAAGTACCTCCTCCCAAACATTCCGCCTCATTCTCAATAACCGGTTGTTTCGGTTGTTCCTAGTTCCTCAACTCCATGCATTCACTGGAAGCTTCTGGATATTTCCATTGTGGATAGAAACGTGTCTTGGAGTTGTATTGTTTGTTTCTTTGTTTCTTTCTTCATTGAAATTATGTTTGCTTGTTTTTTGTATAGTGCAATGCAAACCACACTACTACTGTCCACTGCTATGTTGCCACATGAGTCTGGTTGGTGGGGCACCCAGGGACATTTTTACATTGTTATTGTGTTATTAGTATTTGCAAAATTTTCTTGTATTTAAATAAAAAAAATAGTTGGCTGATTGTGCATAGTGATGACAGTAGGTTGTTGCATAGGTCCGATATTTGTTTGATGGAACGAGTAGGTTTTTGTAAGTGTGTGTGTGCATCGTGTTCTTTCTTTGACATTGTACAACTAGTTTTCAAACTTTGGATGCATGAAAATCTTGCTATAAAAGTACTCTTATAATATTCTATGTTGGTGATTTTGTATTACCAGTTTAATAAGTGTAATTGAATATTTATAGAAGAATTAAAACTATGATCTAATACAAATGTAGTGGTGTAGAGGATGCGTTTGGATAATGCAAGTTTGATATAGGATGTGGTGAAATGTGAAGTCCAGGGGTGAACAATATTACTGAAAGGGAAGTGATTCGTACATAACAATTTTTGCCGTACACAACAATTTATGCATTATAAAGTTGTACAATACAACACTTTAAAACACAAATTGTTGTGTGCGGAGAAAAAGTGTTGTGTACAAATCAGTTCTCTTACTGAAAATCCCGTTCGTACCTAGGGGCGAATTTATGTTTAAGTATGGTGGGTCACTTGACCCACCTTTTTTTATTTTTGTATAACAAGTTATATAAAACTAAAAATTGTGATCTATCTAAAAAAATACAAATGAACAACCTTAATATCTTTGGCAATAAAAAATATATATAAATTAGATTTTTGAAGTCCATAAATTTTAATAGCCCAATATCTTTTAATGTATTATCCAATGTGCATAGCCAAATACAATTTACAATTAAAAAAAAAAAAATTGAATCACAAATCAATCGTTTCACAACACATTAACCTTCGATCTTCAATTTTTCATAATCGTCGATCCAATTTGCAACCGCTGGTAAATATATTCTACTTTGTTAAGTTTGTAAAAACTAATTAAACTATGTGGAAATTTTATTTCCGATTCCAATTTTCCATGAGCATCAAAAAGTCAACAAAGATCATTATTGTAATTCGTGAATTGAATATTCATAATTTAGTTGTAGGTTCAATTGCCTTCACGGTCGGGTTTCATTTCTTTCCTTTTTCTAATTATTGCTTGTTAATATTTATTCCATAAGCATCAAATGCGAAGCTATCGAATGTTTGCTAATATTTCGTGAATTTATTTTTCATTTTTTTATTGTTCCATGAATTCACGCTAGGTTTTTATTGTTTTAAAATTTCAATATGAATTAATTATTTGATTGTTGTTTATATCATAAATCAAAATCAAGAATGACTATGAAAATAATTTGATTTCTTTGCTTAGACAATTCGATCCGATCAAAACGCGTAACTATATATATATATATATATATATATATATATATATATATATATATATATATATATATATATATATATATATATATACTATCAGCTTCATTTAAATAGTGAACTATGTGATTTTACGTTCTAGACTTGCCACTGTTCGTACCCAATATTGAACCATAACCAAATTGGTATCTGTATCATATTTGTATAATCGTTTGGTACTCGGTACTATCAAATGACTCAAATAAGTGTTAGATGCTATCCTTATAGGTACTTTCCCATATTGTGTAATTGGTTCTGTAATCGGTTTTGTTTTTTCAACCAATTTAGTACTTGGTATATTTGGGTTGGTATCAATTCCATACCACACTTATCCCTAGTCCAAGGAATAGAGCTTTTGATAGTGATCGACAAACATGCAGGATCTAAGAGATGTCCCAAAACCTCTATAGAAGGTTGGATGAAAAATATGTAGTGAGTTATGTTCATATGTTGATGACATGTTGAGATTTGGTACTAACCTAAATCAAATAAGAAAACTAAAAAAAAACCATCTAAAAGTTTGTTTATGTCCGGATTAGAACCAAGACCTTTGATTTGAGAAGCAAAACCTCTACCAAATGAGTTAGTCTTACATTGACAGAAGGATTATCATTTTACAAATGGCTGTGTCTGCTTGCTTAGGGGTATAAACGAGCCGAGCCGAACCCGAACCTGACCAAGCTCGAGCTCGACTCGTTTAATTTTGAGGAAGTTCGAGCTCGATTCGAGCCTTAAAATGAAGCTAGAGCTTGGTTCGTGAACAATTTAGTGGGTCTAAACGAGCCTCTATGTGTGTTTGTGTGTATGTGTGTGTGTGTGTGTATATATATATATATATATATATATATATATATATATATATATATATATATATATATATATATATATGTGTGTGTGTGTGTAGGCTCGTTTAAGGTCGTTTAGGCTCGTGAGCCCATTAATCGAAACTCGGCTCGAGCTCGTTTAATAAACGAGCCTCATATTTAGGCTCGAGCTCGGCTCAAATTTGTTTAATTCGATCTCGAGTCGAGCTTTTAACGAGTCGATCCCGAGTAGCTCAGGAGTAACTCGGCTCACTTACACCCATATACTTGCTTGAGGGATGACTGATGAGCCATTTCTTGGGCTTACAAAAAGTAAAATTACATTCAAAGTCAACTATAGATTCTAATTTGTTGCATTAGTTGTTGGTAAAGAAACAACATTGTTTAAAAAAGAACTTGGTGTTTAAGATTCCATTGTTGCCCAAATTGATATCTCCCACAATTATTCATTGTAACGGTGCAACTACATTCACTATCGCATATAACCAAGTGAGTAATTGGAGGTTTAGACACTTAAGTGCTAGACATAGTATCCTTATGGAATTAGTCATGGATGATGTTACATCGGTTGATTTTTTTTTGACACAACATATTTGGCAGATCATCTGATCAATAGTCTAGATCGGGACATAACTGCTAAGTCAGTAATAAGGTGGGATTAAAGTGTCATAGATCACTTCGCTTCCCCACGATGACAAAACTAATGGCTGTTGCTTCCATTAGTACGGCCTTCCTCCCCCTCTACAAACCCATCAAATCCTTCGTATCCACTTCACAAACACCTAAATTCTTCCCTAAAACCAAGCACAACGCTGACACCGGTATCGTTCGGGCGGTTTCCAAGGAGCGAGACGTGATTCCCGTACAGAGTAATAACTTTACGGTTCATCAAGTTGGTATCCTGGTGATTGAAATTGAGAGGGAGGTTGAAGGTGGAAAAGACGTTCAATTGATTGGTGGGTTCGGTGGTAGTGAAGGAAGATTGTCTTTTAAAGGTGGGTTTTCGTTTGCGAGCTCTTCCAGTGATGGAAATCAGGTAGTCGAAGGTGAAAATATCGATAAATTGATCGATAGAACCAGTAACGCCACCATTGTTCTTGTCGCTGACACTTTCGGTATTACCAAATAGCTCACCATCGATTACAATTTATGACATGTGAGTTCTTCTGTCTACTATTAACTTGTCGAATTAGGTTTTATTCAAACATAATTTTGAGTTTGAAAGTTTTGTTCTTTCTAGTTCAATTAAGGACTTAGGTTAATCTTGGTGTGACACACAAAAGGATGAAACATATTTGAAATATTGAGATATGCACCACAACACAACTGGAGTGCATACGAAGAAGCTTTAAAAGAAAACACGCTTTTGGAAAAGATGATGATAAGTGGAGTTGTATATTCAATAAGAGATTGGATTGCACAGGTTCGTTGGTTTCTTTTCTTTAAAAGCCCACCCTTTCTTGTTTCCATTAACGATCCATGAATGATGATCACCTCAAAAAACTAACACTTTTGAATAATTATCCGCTACCCTTATTCTTATCCAATGCTGTGAAGGTAAACCATTGTTGGAGTTTGATCGCACCCGCATGTTTAAAAATGGCCTTGTTCGCTTCACTCTACAAGGATCCCTTTCTCACTACTACTACTACTACTATTTTTGTGAGGTAAACAATGCACCAATTTTATTGTTATTTAAGTATTTTTCTTGTGAATTTAGCTTAATTAGTAATTATAATATTAAATATAATGTTATGTTGTTGCTATATTCATTTCAGGTAATTCCAATTTGTTTTACTTGCTAAATGCAAGTTGAAAGATGGGGATTTGATTTTTTTATTTCTTTTTCACATAATGATTAGGTTAAGTGAAACTTATGAGGTAATTCCAACAAAATGCATACGGTAATTAAATCTTGAATTCCAATTCTACCGGAATGAAATCACGAATTTCAGTTTTGTTGGAATGAAATATGAATATTTTCTCACTGATTTATGTATGATCTACAATTATTGGTTATTGGTTTTGGTGCAATTCACAAGTCCGCATATTTTTCCAAAGGAATTTAGTTTTTTATTTTTAATTTGCTAATGCATTATTGGATTCTAAACTATAATTTGGTTTTGTTTTCACAGAAGTTGATGTTTGAAGAACGGACCACAAAATTGAAAGTAATTCTTAGCAACATTATTATTTTAGAATGTAATAGTGTCTTTGTCAGATTTTGATGTTTTCTTTCCCGATTTGAATGTTTTTTTTAGTTTTATTCTTTAACAATAAATGTAATTCTTAGCAATTGTTACCCGTATTCTATAAAAATTAATGTAATTTTTGTTTTTATTCTTCAATTGATGGTTCAAGAATTTGTTATTCTACAAGAAGTTTTTAAAGTCATGATCAAGAATTTGTTTACCCGTATTCTGTCAGAATGTCCGAATTAAAATAATTATAATTTGTAAAATCAGATTTTTAAAATTAATAGAATCTATGATCCCTTAAAATATGAAATTTTCCTTTATTAAATCTATATTAATTGACTAAACTACCCTTGTAATTAAATTAGATGATATTTTTCAGTTATATTTAATTCAATCATATGTATTAATCACTTTCTTAAAATAAATAAAATGATTATATATATATATATATATATATATATATATATATATATATATATATATATATATATTGAGAGAGAGAAAGAGAGAGATAGTTATGTTCAAATGTTTCTACTATCTATTGTATTCATGTAGGATTGATTATGGATCAATCATTTTAGTTATTTTAATAAAGTAATTAATGCATATTAAATGTTGAATATTTAATTAATATTCATTATATGTTCAACATTTAATTTGCATTAGTTACTTTTTTAAAATAAGTACAATGATTGGTCCACAATCAATCATACATTCACACAATACATAGTATAAACATTTGAATATATATATATATATATATATATATATATATATATATATATATATATATATATATATATATATCCCACGGTGTGGTTCGGTCTTTTGCGGTTTTTACAAATCCAAAAACCGCATGACAATAAAAAATTTCGGTTTTTATAAAATTAAAAACCATACCATTGGTTTTCGTTTTGATTTCGGTTTTTGATATCGATTTATATAGTTTTTTTTGTTTGGTTTTTGCTTATCCTTAAATTCACTAGATAGAATCAACATGTTGAAGAATAGTATTTCTATATAATTATACATAAAAAAATTACAAACCAACCTCACAACAAATTAAAATAATTAGATAATATTTATAAATTTTAAAAGTTATAGATAAACAATCAATTTTTCATAATTATAATTTAATTTTAGTTTTTTATAGATGTAATTTTAGTTAATTTTATAAATTTCAAAAACTTCCGACTACTGGCTATTTACTTCCAACTACTAGCTACTAATTACCAATTACCAACTTTTATCTAATTTTATCGAACATACATAATATTTTTTAGAACGTCTAGCTACCACCACTCATCTAATCCTAAAATATCTTTAAAGTTTTATCTCTCTATGTTTTCTTGTTTTTTTTTTACTTTCATATATATATATATATATATATATATATATATATATATATATATATATATATATATATATATATATATATATATATATATATATATATATATATTATTTTTTCCTTTTATCCTTCATTCACTCTTTAATGTCTAATTAGTTTTTTTTTTCTTTTTTACATGCTATTATATTATTTATTATTCAGGTTTAAAAAATTAAGTCTGTACTAACTAATGTTTGCTTAATTTTATGTTCTTTTAAAACATAAACATGGAAAAAGAACATTATGAAACGGCATGTAGGTTGATTAATCATTGTAGTGTCTATATTTACTATTGATGAATCCATAGATAGAATCAATATGTGGGAGATCAATGTTTCTTTACCATTTATTCTAATAAATGAATTTTTTTTTTATCAGATGTTATATTTTCATTCAATTTGTTAAATGTTATTTTGTGGTTATTTAGAATCAATTTTTTTTCACATATCATTTTATGAGTTTTTCTATTTTATTAAATTTAACATAATACTTTAAAGTAATAATTATACTAAATATAGTAATAAATTGATATAAATTTCAATAATAAACTTACATTTTAGTTTTAAAATTCTGAAATTAAAGTTTATTATTTTTTTTGTTTATTAATTTAAATTATTTTTTTAAATTTAAAAGATAAAAACCATTTCATTTATAATAATTCATTATTTTTCTTATTTCCTTATAAATTCAAAATTCTCAAATATTGTGATCTTTATATATATATATATATATATATATATATATATATTAAATTAACTCATATAATGGTCTCACAACTAGGTATATATAAAAACGATACAAACCAACCTCAAAACAAATTAAAATAATTATGGAATATTTAAAATTTTTAAAAGTTACAGTTAGACAATAAATTTACCATTACTGTGTGTAAATTTTAGCTTTTATATGAATGTTATTTTAGATAATTTTATACATTTCAAAAATTCTCAATTATATTTATCAAACAATCATGTATAAAGAAAAACTATATTTTCCAGCTACAAACTACTAATAGCTACAAACATTTTGGTTCAGAAAAACTAATTAGTTTTGTACGTCATATATATATATATATATATATATATATATATATATATATATATATATATATATATATATATATATATATATATATATATATATATATATATATATATATATATATATATATATACTCATCTAATCATGTTCATTAATTCACAACGCTCAACCATGTGGAAGGAACATTTTTTATCAACACTTGTTATACCATTAGACCAAAAACATTTTGGTTCAAAAATACATATTATATGGACGGATAAAGAATTAAATATATTTTAATTTTTACTAGTAATCCTTTCAAGAAAACACCAAAAGAATCATGCAGGCTTTCTTCCAAAATGCAGGTAACACACTACACATGGCACATGAATAACTTCGAGTGCGTGAGTGTGGATAGAGTTTATTGTTTAATCAGTCACCGAACTACATCAAATCATATGGATATATGATTCTTAAACCATTTAATACACAATAACCGAAACGAAGGTATTGGTTCTCACTGTATAAAAACTATAGACCAACTATCACTATGTTATTGATTATATACAGTTTTTATTATATAACAAATTACTGAACTAACCTTTTATTGTTAAATAATATCATTAAACTTATAAGTCATTATTGTTCAAGTTATTCATGTCACCGTTTACCTAATATAGGTGGGTTGTACATGATCCCACATCGGTTGGGAAGGACAACGCAACATTCCTTAAAAGGGTGTGGAAACTCTCTCTCACAACATGTTTTAAAGTCATGAGAGCAACAAATTCCATGAACAATATTTTCATTCAAGAACACACAAGAGAAATACAAGCCGACTACATGGTCGAATACATGATGGGCTATGCTAAAATATATGTACTACATTAAATGACTAAAACTAAAATAACATAATAATAATAGTATATGTACTACATTAAATGACTAAAACTAAAATAACATAATAATAATAGTATATGTACTACATTAAATGACTAAAACTAAAATAACATAATAATAATAGTATATGTACTACATTAAATGACTAAAACTAAAATAACATAATAATAATAGTTGCCCCCGTTCCTCTGATTTATAGGCATAAAATTCGATTTTTTTGCTAAAAAACTGCTTTGTTTTAAGCTAAAAAGACTATTTTTAATAACTTTAAAAGCTTAAAACCTAATATTTTAGAAACTAAAAAATTAAAAATCCAACATTATGAATCCAACATTACAAAACGACAATCCAACATTCTTACAAATATAAAATACATCAAATCCAACATTACAAATATAAAATACTTACATGTCCAAAATATATGATTAGTTCACTATATCTTCAATATCCATTAATTGGAAACGGGAAAGCGATGCCTAACCTAAACCTAAAATTAGAAAATATATTTTGTATATGTATTTTGTATTATATATATATATATATATATTACATAAATGTACAACCGGGCCTCCCGCGGGAGTACGAGACAGAAATACCGACTCCTGACCCCGGTCCCGAAAA